TTTTTGGAGACTGTGGAAGTTTCTACAAAAATCTGTAAAAACAGTATTGCTTGGTGTGCCACTCTTAGATCTGTGAGTGCATTTTGGTATAAGTGTGCTTGATGCACTACGACAGTGCATTTAGCTGTAGAGGCAGTTTTGAACTTGTTGATTTGACTTTTATGCTTTAACACTTTATGTATAAAATGAAGTTGTTTTCTGGAGCACATGTGTATGCACAGTTCTTTTATTCTTTGTATCACTCAATACTGATGATGTGTGTGTGTATATATATGTGTGTGTGTATATATATGAATATATGTGTGTGTGTGTGTGTAAGTAAATGTTGGCAGCAGACAGGAATTTTTGTGTTTATCACATGGGCAGCAGCCTGCCTGTCTGTAAAAATGGCACTTTTGTTTGTTTTTGGCAGCCAGGAAGGGAAAAGAAGATAAATCTGCAGGTGAACCTTTTCCTGATTATGTCCAAGGTTAAGTTTAAGTGTAAACAACATGGATTTAAAAGAAAGAGTTTATTCAAAAGTAAACTGATAGATTTTAATTCATGCAGTACAGTATTTTGTGCCACAATGTTCTTCTGCCATGGAGGAGGTAATTAATTGAAAAACTTACATAGAGATCCAACACATAGAGAGACAGCCTATTGTCCTCATCTTGTTTTGCATCAGAATATCTGTACCTTCAGGGCAAATGGTTGCTCTGCGGCCAAGGGAATCTCAGGCTGAAACTACAATTCTTGGCTGCAAAACTCTGGATGATCACAAGATGAAAAAACACATATGTCAATTTTCCAGAGTTCTGGTGACCTAGAGGTTTGTTTTAAATCCCCCTTTTTGCAATGTGCAAAACAGTTTCATTTCATCTGATGAAATATGGAACTGAATAACAGAATATAACAGAATAACAGAGTTGGAAGGGACCTTGGAGGTCTTCTAGTGATCTAGTCCAACTCCCTGCTCAAGCAGGAAACCCTATACCAGTGGTTCTCAACCTGTGGGTCGGGACCCCATTTGGGGTCGATCGACCATTTCACGGGGGTCGCCAAGCAAGGCTGTCCGCCATTTTTTTTGTCCGCCATTTTTTTCCCCTTTTCCAGCAGGTGCCTTACCTCCCTTGGGCTGGGCCAGCTGGTGGTCGGCCTGCTCCGTCTCTGCCGCTTGCCAGCTACGCCTCGGCCGGCGCAGGGGGCGGAACCACGCATGTGCGGCGCTCCCGGGCAGGGAAAGTCCTCGACTTACGACCGGTTGGGTAGTCCTCGACTTACGACCAGTTTAGTCCTCGACTTACGACCGGTTGGGGTCGCGGCATTAAAAAGGTTGAGAACCACTGCCCTATACTATTTCAGACAAATGATTGTCCAATCTTTTCTTTAAAACCTCCAGAATTGGAGCACCCACAACTTCTAGAGGCAAGCTGTTGCACTAATTAATTATTCTAACTATCAGGAAAGTTCTAGGTTCGTTTTCTTCTTGAGTAGTTGGAAAATTGGTTGGAAAACTGGAAAAATGGTTTTTTGCTCCTCCTTAAATTCCATTTTTTAGCATCCACTGGGTCAAATGTTTTGGCAGGATGTATAGTGAGAGAAGCCAAACAGGATTCTGCAAAGGCATATAATAACCCATGTGTGTATATTGACAGATGGCTTTTCAAAGAATTGCAGTTACTGTACATGTTTGTAAGGAACCAGATCCTTAGTGACCTTTCTATGCGAGGCAGGTTTGCTGAAAAAAAATTACTGTTCTCAGACTATTTCCTGATCAAAAGGTATTATTTACTTTGCTGTCTGAGAAGTTGAGACTTGTTTAGATAAATTATTGTGATTAAACTTACCAAACGTACCAAATAAAACATCACATATACCTCAAGGCATTATAATTATCTCCTTAACAAATATAGCAATAGCACTTAGACTTATATACCGCTTCACAGTGCTTTACAGCCCTCTCTAAGCAGTTTACAGAGTCAGCATATTGCCCCCAACATTTTACCTTGGAAGGATGGAAGGCTGAGTCAACCTTGAGCCTGTGAGAATTGAACTGCTGAACTGCTGGCAGCCAACAGTCAGCAGAAGTAGCCTGCAGTACTGCATTCTAACCACTGCTCCACCACGGCTCTACAAATATACAGTATTTGTATGTTTTACCTGTGGGAGTGTAATGATATGTGGGAATGACCTTGGCAGATGGTTGGGGGGGGGATGCTACCAGAGAATCATCGATAAAAGTGTGTATCCTATAGAGCAGTGATGGCGAACCTTTTAGAGACCGAGTGCCCAAACTGCAACCCAAAACCCACTTATGTATTGTTGGGTGCCAGGTGGGTGTGGCCCATTGGCTGGGTGTGGCCAGTTGGGTGGGTCTGGCCCATTGGGTGGGCATGGCTGCGGTGGTAACGGCAGATTGGGTCGGACTAAAAAGTTCAATCAATCAATTCCAACTTTGCAAGATCTTTTTTTTTCCGTGAGAAGTTGAAATTGACTGATTGATTGAACCTTTTTTTTTTTTTGCACATGGCAGCCGGAGGCCTAAAGTGAAAAGGTTTTATAAAACCCAGCTGAAGGCCTAGGACTGGGGCGACAGCACGCGTGCCCACAGAGAGGGCTGTGAGTGCCACCTCTGGCACCTGTGCCATAGGTTCACCACCACTGCTATAGAGAAAGAAACTCAGAAAGGAATCTTCCTAATGTCTCAGGAAGATTTGCAAGATTCTGTCAATGTAGCCTTGCAATAAAGTATAATTAAGTCATTTCGTCAGGTTTTCCGTCTGGGAAGGGCTGACAGGGAGTACATTTATCAAAATACTATTCCATATGTTTACATTTCTGTAAGAATTATTATGCTCGGTAGCCACAGTTTGTCCTTTTAAATTATTTATTTAAAACTATTTTTGTTTGCCTAATGTCTGAAGACAGTACAAGGACTGTTTCATTCTATTTGGCAGATACTCACCAATTCACTCCCTGTGCTCCTATGATAGGCTTACCTGAATAGAACTGAAGTGTGATTTATGCACTTAATCCACTTTTCTGGGTTAATATCCTGTACCATAGAAATAGGTTGATGCAACATACTAGGTTGAAATGTAGTTGGCTAGTTTGTGCAAAAATAGTCATGGGTTCACCCTAATGTGCAAATTCTCTCTTCCTGAAGAAGTACAATACCATGAGTATACTATAGCTTATGACATATATTTATCAAATTCTTGTGAGGCTCCTAACTTGAAAAAAAAGTTAGGGTGATGGGGCATTGTGGTATATAAATCCATCCACATGTAGATCTAGTATGTATTTACATCCCACAATTTATGTTTATTGATCACTACTCAATAGGCAAGATTTTTTTTATGGATGTATACTTTTTCTCTATTGCTCCAAGGAAATCGTATAGAGTACTAAGATTTAGAGAAGTCAAGGGAAAAAAGAAAACGTATCTCTCTAACATTCTAAAGCACTTCAAAACAGTAATTTAAAAAAAAAATACTTACAGAAAGATGGGAATCCTTTGTTTCAGAGAGTTTCTTCAACATATATTAACAATATGCTAGACAAGTGAATATGAATGTATGGAATTCAAATGGTATATGCTTGAACAGACTTATATTGTTCACTAGTTTGTTCAAACCTATAGCTTATTGATGGAAGTTAAGTATGGGCTTTTAAAGCAGATTTTGAAAAAGCATGACAGGCAAGAGTTTGGGTTGCTTAGACTAGGGTGCTTTATTTTGTTCTCCGTCACTGCCATGCCAGATGTGGAATACAAGCTTCAAGGCTGCAAATCATCCTGCAGTAAATTACCAAGATTTAAGATCTGCTATACTATGCCAGATTGTCACAGGCAAGTCTCTTTTTCTGCCCCTACAGTGAAATTAAGAACCTCTAGAAAGAAGGAAAGAAACATTCCCTAGCTTATCCTGTACACACATACACACAAAACTATTCAGTTCAGAAGTTACAAGCAACACTATAAGTTGCTGTTCCAGAATAATTTCTGGGAGAAATGAGGGCAAATCCAAGCATATACTGGTTTCCAAGCATTCTGTCTTGCATCCCTAATTATAAAGTACAAATTGAAGACTACTTGCTAATATTGCCATACCAAGATCCCCCTGTGTTTCTGATCATTAGTAAACAAAGTGTTTGTGATCTTTCTCTTCAGTATAGTGCAGACATGTCAAACTCACAACGTCATGTGACGTCGCGCAATGTATCGGAGCTTTTTTGCCATTGCTGGCAATGGGGTGGGTGCGGCTCTGGTATGATGAAACCGGCCTGTGGGCCGGCAGTTTGACACCCCTGGTATAGTGGTATTTGCCTTAACAATAATTTTGCAGTTTTCAAAAATTAAGAGGAGACAATTTGTGCTTTCCCGATTTATATGAATAGTAAAATGAAACATAGGTGAGAATTCAGACTGTGCACATGGGAAATATAAGAAAAGAACATGTCCAAAGGAAGAGAAACACAATGGAAAGAAAGCCAGAATAATAGTTCCTAATTTCATTTAGGATTATCAGGGGGAGGGTGGGTGCATACATTCATCACCTGAACAAAAAAAGTATTTGTCTTTTTTCTCCAATGTTAAGTGTTCTCAGTGTTAGTTCTACCTTCAATGGAACTTAGCTCCCTTGTTCAGTGCTTCACTTGCCCAGAAATAAATTTGGGTAACTTTTTTTTCATAATTGTGAATATCACAGCATTTTCAGCCTTATTCAATGCAGTATTGCCCAACTTTATAAGCAAGCCCTTCTATGATATGATATGTTCCTCTCCAGTTCTTCAGATTTGCCTATTTGATCCCTGGTTTTCTTGCTTTTTCTTCTGATTGGCAGAATTCAGACATGCCAGCTTAGCGTGTATGTAAGGAGCCATCTTATTGGCCATATCTGTTTCCAGCTTGTCCAATCAACTACCTCATCTGTTCCAAGCTTAGCAAAGTCTCTGCTTTCAAAGTCTTCATTGCCAGTGATTTAATTATTGTCCTCTTCCTCTCTCCTCATCTTCAGGTTTTTCGCACCGACTTGATAACAGCAATGAAGATTCCAGATTCTTTCCAGCTGAGCCCAGATGAGTACTATATCCTTGCTGATCCCTGGAGACAAGAGTGGGAGAAGGGTGTTCAAGTGCCAGCAAATACAGAAACAATCCCAGAACCAGAGGTTAGGTAAGTGAGGCTGGTACCCTTTTCTCTTTCCTGAGTGAGATACATGTTTATGGTTGGGTTTGGCTTGGCTTTGTCTCTGGGGCACTGTGTTGATTTCATTGTTTAGCACCTGTGTTTCACTGAGGGCTTTCCAAAATCATTAAGTAAGTCTGCTGGTAATTAAAGGCAAAGAAACCATGCAGTGCGATACTTGAGGTTACTCGTACCACAGCTGTGCTGCAAGAACTTCTAAGTGATTCGTCAGGGCAGTTTAGGGCAGAACATGTTTCTCAATGGATTCTGGATCTAAAATGCATAAGCAAAACAATAGGTAAAGTTCTACCTGTATATTTGTATGTATGTTTAGAAATTCATTACTGTTGTTACTAAACCTTTGGAGCATGCCATGTCTACCATGGATGATTTCTGTGGAAATATTTAACATTTAGGAACAAGGACTTTATAAGGACTCTATAATTTTGAAATTTTCTTCTTTGTCCTGGAAGGCATTGTTAGTGCAAGCCAGAGTGGTTGATAAAATGGGACTGTGCATGCTACAAAAAGCACGTGGAAGGAGCAGCTTTAGAATTTGCTTGATTACAGTGCTTCTCTTCTCTTCTGTTTATTGAATAGCTTGTTTCTTCCTTCAAGCTTCTGTGCACACCTGAAAATCTGCTGCTGCTTTAATAAATCAGATCATTACAACTGACTCTTTAGTGCAACTTTTAAAGCAGGGGCATCTGGTTTTAGGTTTGCATTGAAATCTGAAAAAGGAAGCAGAAAGATGCAGTACTTGTCCGTAGCATTTCTTCTGAGTCATTTTCAAAGTATGCATTATTTTAATATGAAACATGAACTGTAACTCTTAATCACCAAAATTAACCAAATGAGAACTTACTAAAAGGTTAGGGAGGTTGGAAGGGAGATGAAAGGCATTCTGCCTCATTAGAACCTACTAGCTCTTAAAAAAAAATTTCTTGCCTTTTCTTGGCTTTAAAGAGAACTAGGAGACATATTGTTCTAGCTCTATTAACGTCTAGGAGGTGCTTGGGTATTTCCTTGCTAACCAGCTATAGATTGTTTCTCTAACACAGGTCTATTTTGAACATGCTGGTGGGACTGGAGAGCAACTTTAAAAGAGTTAGTTGCTCTGTAGGAGTTGCTTTTAATGCTTATAATAATGTGAGTCCCAAGTCTTTTGTAAGGGGATGAATTTAGAATGTGTGGATAGGATACTCTTAGGTGAGAACTGATGTTCCTTACCATTGGTTCTGTTCTGATGAAAGATAAGACAGAACTGGGTGTTTTCCTTGAACACATAGGTCAAAGCTTGGATGGTTGGGTGATTTTCACTTGTATGTGCTGTTCCCACAGAGAATTGAATTTTAATTTTAACCAGGCAACCAAGTTCTAGTCCCACCTTAGGCGTGAAAGCCAGCTGGGTGACTTTGGACCAGTCACTCTCTCTCAGCCCAATCCACCTTACTGTGTTGTTGGGGGATGTAGACTGGATATGGGGTAGTGGTGATGACAAAAGCTATTTGACTGTCTTGATCAGATTGTCATCTGGTGAGTGTTGGTTTTGTGGTGGCATGCCTCTTCTGAAAGGATTAAGGGCCCACTAATGTGCTCCATCTTAAGACTTAGAGAAGCCAATGAATTCTTAAATCCTCCAGGAGAGTTTGCAAGAGCAAGAATCCTATCAAGGCTCTGATTGAAAATGGAATTATGAGGAAAAAAACTATGACATGATCAGCCTCAAATGTCTTCTTAGATTATATACCATAGAACCACTATTTTTCCTGATTTTCTGGAACAGAGAATAATGGACCAGGCCAAGAGAAAGTTAAAATGATGTACATCTACTAATTTGTGATGAGACTGCAAAAAAGTTTATTTTGTAATCTTCACTGCATCCTCAAATAGACATCCAGCAGAGCTCTTCAGAATAATTAAGGTCTTGGTATTTGCCCTTGATAATCCCAAAAGCCTACTATGACCAATTTGCAAGACATTTGGAAGATAAAATCATGTTCATGTCATCTCGTATTCTACTTTTGACATAGTATCTGGTGTATCATTTGGTCCAATTATGTCTCAGTGCTTTCAGTTTTGAAGGCCTGAGGATATGTACAAGATGCTTATAGCTGATCAGTCTGCACCTCTTGACCCCTTCCCCTCTTGGCTGTTAGAGCTAGCTGAGCTAAGTATATCTGTAAAGTGATTGAGCACATTTTTGAGGGGTAGCTTGTGCTACTAGCTCTTAAAGAGGTGGTAGTTCCCCCTTTTGAGGGACAAAACATGGGGCAAGGGGTTGGAGAGGGATAATATTGTGTATCTCATTTTGTTGAGAAAAAACCAATTATGTTGAATTTCAACCTGGACTTGGACACGATTTTAAGACTGAATTAGCCTTGGATGACCTGATGGATGACCTTCTATGAGAAAGAGATGACAGTGTGATTTTGTTGATCCTGCAGCTTTTTTTTTGTACTATTAACCATTGGTATTCTTCTCAATCAGCTCCATGAGATGGTTTTGGAAACATGCCAACTTGCAGAGACAGTATTAGAAAATAACATTGAATGACAGTACCTTAGAATCATGGCAGTTGATCAAGGTATAATTATATCCCAAATAATTCTTAACCATCTACATCAGGGGTAGTCAACCTTGGCTCTTTTATGACTCGTGGACTTCAACTCCCAGAATTCCTGAGCCAGCTTCTGGGAATTCTGGGAGTTGAAGTCCATGAGTCATAAAAGAGCCAAGGTTGACTACCCCTGATCTACATGAAACCAGTGGATGCAATCATCAGGAGAACCGTTTGGTCATTTTTGCTTTTTCCTAAAGAGGAATTGTGTGGCCACTGCTGTCAAAGCATTGGTTAACTGCATATTTGGATTATTCTAAAACTTGCAGTGAGCACAGAATGCAGAGGTCGGGTTATTACATTGAGCATCTGGCTGGGCAATATGATGACCCCAGCATATTGTGGTGTATTAATCTGCTTTTGGGCCACAGACAGGTTTTCTTATTCATGCATAAAGGTCTGGATGATTTTGATCTACGAGATTGACTTTCTGCTTATAAACTGCATAAACACTGAGATTGTCCAAGGAGATCATATTGCAAAGTTTCACAAAGTGTAGATTGTCACCTTAGAGTTATGCAGGAGAGGATGCCTGCTCTGTGGAATGGTCCCCTCCAGTAGCATTCAATGGTCTTACTGTTACATTGTTTAGGTACCAATGACTGATCTTTATACCCAGGTCTCTTGCATTAGGGACAAATTCTTTTTTTGTACCTATTCATGTCTTTGATTGTTTAACTTTGTTTCTTTATTTAATGTTAAAGCACTTAAAAAGTTATTTTATGAACAGCAGTATATAAGTGTTTTAATCAGTAATAAAAACAAAGTAGCATTATTCATACATTTCTTGACCAAGCTATTTCCTATGTATATCTTTTCTTTCAAAGTCCACTGAGAATATTTTTTTTTCTAGTTTGAACCTGGTTAAGCAACACTTTGTTATACTAGGACAAGGGTCTTCAAACTTGGCCCTTTTATGACTTGTGGACTTCAACTCCCAGAATTCCTCAGCCAGCGTGCTTGGCTGAGGAATTCTGGGAGTTGAAGTCCACAAGTCATAAAAGGGCCAAGTTTGAAGACCCCTGTACTAGGAAATTTGGGACCTTGGTTATATGTGACGGTCTCTTTATGCACAACATAAAGTCTCTTTATCGCTAATAAAAAGAGCATTTTAATAATGTAATTATCCAGTTGCCATTCCCCCATGTATACAATATACAGAAAAGGAAGCTGTGCACTGACTTAACACTATCTCTGTCTCTACTCCCCCCCCCCTTTTTTTCCTTTTTTTTTTTTTGTAAAAGTCAGCTGTGATAAAATGTATAAAAGATTTGGGGAGGCTGCTTTACTTCAAAGATGTTAAGTGTCACTGTGAAGACTGATTAGATAGCATTCTTACTCAGTAAAAATAATGGTTTGACAGGAAACAGAATTTTAAACATGTTTAAGGTGTTCTTCAGATTTTATCCAGGAAATCTCTCCCTCCCCACAGGATTCAGCAAAGTCAATAATTGCCTGAAGCACTGCTTGCTCAGCAGTGACAGCAGCAACAGCTGTTGGCGAAGGAAAGTTATGAAATAAACTTTTGTGCTTTCATCTCCTTTGATTAGTATAGGGGGCAGGGAAGGAAGTCACCTTCAAAAACTAGAAAATCTTAATGAGAAATTGGAAAGGAAATTAGGCAGATTACATTTTAAACTTACTCGGTATTTTAACACGTTAGTAGAGTATTTGTCTTTACCAACTTTGATACATGCATACTTATTTGCAGCCTTGAATGTTCTGCTGTAAAGCTGAAGGTTGAATCTGGTGCTGGGTCAAGATGAAAAGTGATACCTTGGCACTGCCTGGGCCGGAGGTTCCTATTAAAAGCCAGGCTAAACAGATTCACATTTTTGCAAATGTACTTTGCAGGCATGCAGTTGTTTAACAGGCTCAGCGCTTTCTCCCTGGTGGAAGGCTACTGAATATTCTGGCCTCGTTCCAGGACAGCAGTAGAAACTTGAGATTCCTTTGGAATCTAGGAATTCAAGACTCGTTTGGATTAAGCCTAGCCCTCAGACATAGTCCTCAGTAGGCAGTAAAATTGTCCTGGCTTGCCCTCAGACGGGGTGGATTTCAGTTCCTATATGTAGCCAACATAATATCCAATTATTGGTTTTGCTGGCTCATGATCATGCAAGTTGAAGATTTCTCACATTTGGTGCAGAACATCCTAGGAAAGACTGTATCATTTAGACACACATTGAGATATTTAGTGCATATGTAGTGCTTTAGAGCAGGGATCCCCAACCCATGGTCCGTGGACCGGTACTGGGCCACAGCATGCCAGCAACTGGGCCACACAAACAAGCAAAGCCCCATCCATGGGATGCAGGCAGCACACAAAACCATGCACACTCTGGTCCATGGGAAAAAACATTTTCCA